TTTTGTAGATAATATAAATAGTGTTGCTTTATAGTTATGAAGTTATTCAAGTTATCCAGTCATTCAAGTTTTTCAAGTTATTCAAGTTTTTCAGTAAAGATAGTAATGGCATCATCTGGTAGAAGAGTTACATTAGCAACATTTTTGAGTTGGGGTAAAGATGGAGTCTGTGGAAAAGAAACTGAGGTGGAGAATGGAACAATTTTTGTTGTGAAGATATGGTGTATGGTTTGTATAAAATATAAAAAAGAATTGCTTCGCGAGTTAAAAGGTCTGGCAAAATCAAAAGCATTAGCATTTATAGAGGGCACTACGAACGTTAAAGCTAGCAACATACATACGTTTATATACATGCTTATATTGTATATAAAGTAACGGAAGCCCCGGTATCTTAAGAAATTATTAGTACTTCTAAATAAAAACTTATTTTATTAAAAGAATTTAGATTTCAAATTTTTTATTCACGTATCAGAATAACTATTTCCGATCAGGATAGGCATAGGTAAAGCAAAGTTATAAAAATATAAATAACAGTTTAAGTTTTTAATTTGCACGCCCAATAGAATGCAAGAGTATATAAATAATTGAATTTGAAAAATAACATAGTTACGTATCATATTATCAAGCTAATACCAAACAATTCTAAAACTATCGAGCTCATTGATTCAAGGTTAAAAATAAAAAAGATTTCAAACTATTTGCTGAATAATTAAAAAAATTAGATTTTGAAAATATTATGTAATATTTTTATTCACAAAGAATAAGAGAAACGAATGAACTAAAAAAGCACGATAAAAACCTGTATAATTTATTCGAATACTTGAATAAAACAATAATATATAAATATACTCAAAAAGACTTCGGTAAAAAAACACGTTAGGATGCTTGAATAAGGAAACGTGATGGAACGTCATGGTTGTTTCGAGGATTTTTCCCGTCGTTTTCACGTTCATTCGTTTGACTATATCTGCCATATATCTGGAATAAAGATTAAAAAAAAAAACATAAAAAACTGAATAAAGTTCCTTCGAGTAAGAAATCTAAACAAAAGCAACCATAAAACAACTAACCCATGTGAAACGAAATTAGATCTGTGCAAGTGAAAACTTTGAAAAACAATTATTGAAATCTTAGTTTTAAGTATTATCCAACTCATTTACTGCAGTGTTTTAATTACTTAAGTAATTAAGCATTTTGAGCAGTTATTAGCTTTCTAACATATTATTTTAGTGCAATTCACAAAATGTTTAATATTCAATGACATTTTCATTCAAAAAGCAGAAGAGAAATTAACAAATTAAAAAAAAAAAAGTTCAAACTTTAGAATTTTTTTTAAAGTTTAAAAAAGCCCGTGCAAGACCATCTAGACGGGCGGCCCTCATAGCCCGCCAAGTCTATTTAAGACGGGCTCTTCATAGCCCGTACGGTTTTTATTCCTGCCGAAGCCTGTATATATATATATATATATATATATATATATATATATATATATATATATATATATATATATATATATATATATATATATATATATATATATTTACATATATAATTAAAAGAAAATATCTTTATATTATCATTTAAAATATTGTATAATTAAACATAGATATAGAGTGTTTCAGCGATAAACTATTGCTATATATTATATATTGTCGTTATACAAGGGAAATACACAGAAAACAGAAAAACAAGTCCATTTTTGTTAGTATAGAGTTATTTATACCACTATTTAGTATTTTTAAATTCTCTATCGTTTGATATACCACACAAATTTAATAAATAACTTATTAATAAGTTATTAAGATTTTTTATTTCAACTATGACACAAAAACTTTTTATTTTAACTATCATGCAAAAACTTATTTGTTCATTATCTCAAAATGATGTTTTTGGACTTGTGCATTTCCCTTGTATACCAACAATATGTTAATGTTATGGTACTAGGAATTAGCTAAAATGTTAATGTTTTATAATATAATCTAATATTTAAAAAGAAAAACAACAAAAATATACATCAAAGGACTAGACCGAGCCGTCAAGCCCAAATTAAATAATTAGAAACAGAGAGAATAAAAATAATAAGATTAAAAAGTATTATGAACAGATGTTCAGAGCAAAACAAAGATACTAAAGTAAAGTATATATTAATGATACTATAAAATTTATATTTATGATAATATAAACATCGCGCATGTAATAGAAATAATAAACTCATATTCTAAATAGAAAACCACAGCCAACGTGCAAGGTATACAAACACGAAGTAAAAATACTAAGTTAAACATAATACGCTCAGAGCGGGAAAATTGAACCTGGAATTACTAGGTTGACACTCTAACCGATAAGCTATAGATGCTCACATATAAACAAGATAATAAATGTAATAAAATAATAAAGTAAACAATAAAATTAAATGACAATAAATAGCATACATACATACATACATACATAAATATTTACACACTTCCATATATACATATATACATATTCGCATATATATACATATATACACATTAAAAAAAAAAAAAAAGGGGAAAGATAATAAAAATAATGGTGTTGAAAGATCCAATTGAAATTAAGTAGTGGACTAATGTAGGTGAAACTCCATCCTCATATATTCACCAATGATGTTTCGTAGAGCCTGATAAAAATTAAGAATTTTTATTTCAACTATCACACAAAAACTTTTTATTTTAACTATGATGCAAAAACTTATTTGTTCATTATCTCAAAATGATGTTTTTGGACTTAGTGCATTTCACTTGTATACCAACAATATGTTACTGTTACGGTACTAGAAATTAGCTAAAATATTAATGTTTTATAATATAGTATAATATTGCAACTTTGAATTTCATGTTTTACTACAATCTTGAGGCTAGTAGTAACAATTTAATTTGCTACTATAAATATACACACACATATATGTATAATATAAATATTACATTTAATATTATATACAACATTAAACCAAAAACACACCTTTAGTTCATTATATGAGGTAGTACTATATAAAGCATGCTGTTGCTCATCAGACAACAAGTCAACCAAATCAATGTCACATAAATATCCTGAATATATACTTGATCAGTTTTACTATTTTATAAATTTAAAAGCCAATAAAAATTAAAGATTGAGGTGTTTAATCATATAAACATATAGAAATTATAGGTTATAGAATGAGCCCTCATACCCTTACCCAAAATGAAATATTTTATTTAGTATAAGTAGTATAAATAACATAAACTTATACAGTAAACTTTGATGTAGTAAAAACAAAAAAATCTGCAAAAAAATCTACAATAAAAAAATGAAGTTATACTTTGACACAATAACATCAATGTTTTGGAATGGCCATCTCAAAGTCCGGACTAAATTCCAATATAAAATTGGTGGTATTTTTTGGACAGAAAAATTGGCAAACGAGCATTTAGACAACTTGAAAAAAGCTATAATGAGGGAATGGGATAATACAACAGCAGAAGAGACACAAAATTTGGTCAACTCAATATCAAACCATCTAGATGAGGCCATCAAGGCTAAAGAAGGCCCCACTTGATACTAATTTCTATGGAATTTGATCAATTTGACATTATTTTTTTTGCAATCAATTTTATGCATCATTAGATCAATTGAGTAAAATTCAATAGGTTTGAAAAGCAATAAGTTCTCCAATAAATTATTAAAACAATACTTGATAAGATATAAAAAAAAAAAAGTTTAAAATATTTTAACAGACAACTTATTTTTTTGATGCAATCTTTAAAATTATGATTTTTTAAGGGTTCAATTATTTTTTCATTACAATATATATATGTATATATATATATATGTATATATGTATATTATGTATATATGTATATATGTATATATGTATATATGTATATATATATGTATATATATATATATATACGTATTATATATATATATATATATATATATATATATATATATATATATATATATATATATATATATATATATATATATATCTATTAAAATTCATTTTGGTATAACTCGTCTTTTAATCAAGTCTCATCCCTTTATTGTAACTGTTCATAAGTGCTACAAAAATTATTATCAAGTTTTTTTCCTCGAACATCAGTTCTTTGGAATTCGCTTCCTTCATCTTGTTTTCCTGATTCATATAATTTGCAATCTTTTAAGTTGTCTTTTAATCGTTATCTTGCTCTATAAACTTCATCTTTTCTCTTCCAGCAACTTCCAATTCTAATAGTGGTTGCAGCCTTGTTAGATGTGGAGATGTTTAAAAAAAAAAATTAAATTAGAATTTAGGCAAATTTAATTTAAATTAGGCAAAATTAATTTAACTTATGCATTTTTTTATTACTAAATCTTTGCAGGTTATAAATATTTTTTTATAAAATAACAAAACATAGGCAGCTTAATAAATAGACAAAACAAAATATAACTATAGACAATTTTTAGAACTTAAATATATCTAAAAATATATTTACCAGTTGAATAAAATTTCAATTTTCTGACAGTTAAAATAAATTTTTCTAACACTTTGTATTGATCTATGATTACCAGCAAATATTACTATAGGTCGAGCTTCTTAAAAATGAAATATTTTTTTTTAGATAAAATTGCAGTTTTAGCTGTTTTATTTAATTTTTTTTTAATATGGCTTTGTTTATAAGCCAGTGCATAATTTCAAGTAAATCAAGATGGTGAAAAAATAAAAAAACAATAAAAAAAAACAGATTTTATTTTTAATATTTTGTTTCTAATGTAAAATTCTAATTTCTTTTGTGTATATTTTGTTTATACCGTTTGTCTTTAATAAAACTGTTTTGTATATTTTTTATATATACTGTTTGTCTTTAATAACACTTTTTTGTGTATTTTTTATTTAATAACTTTTTAGTCTTTATAAAGTCTTTAATAACACTTTTAAAATTTATTGTGTTTGAAAAATGTATATTCACAATTTTTTCCAAAATAAAGTAATTTTTTTTTAATACTTCCATTCTTAGGCGGCAAATGTTCCTGTTGTTCGATTCCCTGATAGAAGGGTATGATTTAGCATAATTTTTGATTTGTAATATTATTTTAAGATATTTCTATTTACTGGTTTGTCTTTACAATTTATTTATCAAATAAATATGATTAAAGTTTTTACATATTTTATATTATATAAATAATTGGTTTTGGTAAAAACAATTTAGCTTAATTGGTTTAAGTAATTACAATATTTTTGTTTATTAAACTTTTTCAATTTGTTTAAGATTATAATACTTAAGTTTTGATATTGCTCACTGTTTCAAGGTTCAATTTCATTAACTATTGATTTATTCTTTAGAAAATATGCATTCCAAAAAAAAAAAGAGAACATTTTTAAAAATTAAATTCATGTTTTTTAAATTTTTTCTGATTTTCTTATTTTAATATATCTTTTTTCCTTATCAGTTAATGCCAAGAATACAACAAGATGAGGGACAGAACAGACAGTTTTAAAAAAATAGTTTATAATATTAAACGTTTAAAATTGTTTATTAATTAAAGCTTTTAAAGAACTTTAATTAAATAATTAATTAAAGTTCTTTAAAAGTTAATGTTAAAGTAGAAGACTTGGTGTACATCAGTCCCTATTATTTATAGAGCAATCAGTTTTGCACTTTTTGAAACATGGTTCTTCCATGCACAATGGCTAACTCTTGCATCAAGCTCTTCGTTTATGCAAGATACCTTCACATAAATTGAATAGCTGTAACTCACATCTGAAGCCTCTGGCTGATGGGCTGTAGTAATAATTAGTAATAATTAGTAATAATTAGTAATAATTAGATGGGCTGTAGTAATAATTACAGGTCAGGTCAGGTTTTCCTGCTACTGGTAACATGTAACCCAGTACAACCTGCTCCATGTCCTGCTGCCTTGTAGGATACGCTTTTTTAGGCAAAGGCTAGGAGAAGTTAACTCCGATTTAAAACACCCCCTGCCTTGGGGCTCTTGGTTGAGTAAAGGCTAGAGATGGTGTCTCGATAAAAATACTCATCTTGGGCAGATGTTACATGCATCCAGCTGCTGTCTTGTAGAAGGCCTCCTAGGCAAAGACTTAAGGGGTAAACAGATTCTATCTGTTGACCAGCCTCGCACCCCTTCCTCATCTATTAGGCTGGCGCAGATGTATTTTTAATACATTGTTTCCAGTTTAGGATGTTGAACGCTGGATCTTCTTGACTCAATGCGTGGGTATTGCTTGTGTCTCTATTTTTATGACTGGGCAACTCATTCTATTATCTCCTAATGAGGGTACAGCTCTAAAACTCAGTTTTATGGTTCTGAGGCCGGCTGGTAGTCAGGTTTCCCGAACTCTGTGGTAGCTCTCAGAGAGGCTGATTCCATCAACAGCCGAAAAATATCAGAGTACTAACAGTGCCATGTTGCGCATGGATGGTGTCCCTGTTTGTACTTTTGGTGTGCATTGCAGAGGCCACATTTGGAGCCCTTTGTTACGGCTTAGGGTTTATTAATAGTAATGAGGCTATTGCTTAGTTGTTAAATAGTGTACTGAGTACTATCTATACTTGAGTCAAGTTCTTTATAAATTTAAAATGACTAAAGTACCTAAAACTAAAAAACACAAAAAACCATTGTCATCACCAAGTTCTCTAAACCTATCATTTACTAATATTCGTGGTCTTCGAAGTAACTTTTCTTCTGTTGAGTCTTATCTCTTGCAAAGTTCACCAGACCTACTTGCTCTTTGTGAGACTAATTTGAGTTCAGCTGTCCCATCTTGTGATCTTAGTGTTGATGGTTATCTTCCTTTAATTCGTAAAGACTCCAATAACCACATGCTTGGCCTGGGCATCTACATTCGTAAGAACTCACCCATTTGTCGTGAAACTAGGTTTGAATCTACAGAATATTTATTTATGTGCTTTCGTTTAGCACAACTTCACTCTATCGCCTTTCTCTTTGTTCTATATCGCTCTCCTTCATCCCAAGATTGCACTATCTTTGATGTTATTTCTGATCAAATTGACCAAGCCCTCTCTCTTTATCCATCGGCCAATATTGTCGTTGTTGGTGACTTTAATGCCCATCACACCGATTGGCTTGGCTCTAGTGTCAGTGACTCTGCTGGCGTTAAGGCTCTCAACTTTTGCCTTTCTCAATCTCTAACTCAAATAGTCAACTTTCCAACTCGTTTTCCAGACAACCCTAATCATTTACCTTCTCTACTCGACTTATGTCTTGTTTTGGATCCTAGTCAGTGCTCAATTTCTCCACATTCACCCTTAGGTACTTCTGATCACGGTTTGATCTCTCTAAAACTATTATCAAATTCTTCTACTTCATCAGAATCCCCCTATCATCGTACCACATACAACTACCTTAAAGCTGACTGGGACACTTTCCGTGATTTTCTTCGTGATGGCCCTTGGGTAGAAATCTTTCGTCTTCCTGCTGACAAATGTGCTTCTTACATAACTTCGTGGATTCAGGCTGGCATGGAATCTTTTATTCCCTCTCGACGATTCCAGGTCAAGCCTCACTCTTCTCCTTGGTTTTCCTCACATTGCGCAGTAGCAATTTCTAATCGAAACCGTTACTTCCATATCTATCAGCAAAACAATTCTCCAGAAAACAGACATCTGTTCACTATCGCCAGAAACCATTGTAAAAAGGTTTTGTCTGACGCTAAAGCTCGCTATTCCCAGGTCATTAAATCTCGTATCTCATCACAAAAATTAGGCTCTCGAGACTTCTGGAGAATCTTTAACAGTATCAATAATAAGGGCAAATCTGTTATTCCTTCTCTCTTGTATGGTTCAGACTTTGTCACCTCACCTAAAGACAAAGCTGAATTGTTTGCTAAGAACTTTTCATCAATATCATCTCTTGATTCCACTAGTTGCGTTTTACCTGACATAGCCGTCAAACAGGTTGATCCCTTGCTTGACATTCGCATCACTTCAGCTTCTGTATCTAAAGTAATTTCCTGCTTAGACTCTTCAACAGCTTGTGGTCCTGACAACATTCCTGTTGTAGTCTTGCAGAGGTGTTCTCCGGAGCTTTCATCCATACTTTCTAAACTATTTAACAAGTGCTTATCAGAGTCTTGTTTTCCATCATGCTGGAAAGCAGCATCTGTTATCCCTATTTTCAAAAATTCCGGAGAGCGATCTGATTCATCTAACTACCGTCCCATTAGTCTTCTTCCTGTCATAAGCAAGGTTTTTGAATCTTTAATCAACAAACACTTAATCTCTCATCTTGAATCAAATAACTTACTTTCTGATCATCAATATGGATTTCGGTCTTCTCGTTCTAATGCTGATGTGCTAACAGTAATAACCGATAGGTTTTACCGTGCATTAGATAGAGGTGGAGAGGTTAAGGCTATCGCACTTGACATTTCTAAAGCTTTTGATAAAGTTTGGCATGCTGGTCTTCTCCATAAGCTTTCTTCTTATGGTGTAGCTGGTAACGTCTTTAAGATTATTGAGTCCTTTCTTTCCAATCGTAGTATAAAAGTTGTCCTCGATGGACAACACTCTTCTTCACATCCTGTAACTTCAGGGGTTCCTCAAGGCTCAATCCTTGGCCCTATACTCTTTTTAATTTACATTAACGATCTTCCAGATATTCTCACATCTAAGGTGGCATTATTCGCTGACGACACTACCATTTACTCTTGTCATGATAAGAAGCCTACACTCTCTGATTGCTTGGAGGGGGTATCTGAGCTTGAAAAGGATCTCACTTCTGCTACAGCATGGGGCTCACAGTGGCTGGTGAACTTTAATTCAGATAAAACTCTATTTTATTCGGCCAATCGTTATCGTAATAATTTAGATCTTCCTATATTTATGAATGGTAATGTACTAGATGAGTCATCTACCATTCATCTTCTAGGATTAACTCTTACTTCTGATCTTTCTTTTAAACCGTATATCAAATCCATTGCAAAATTAGCATCTGCTAAGGTTGCATCTCTTTATCGAGCTCGACACTTTCTTACTCCAGATTCTATTCTCTATCTCTATAAATCTCAAATCCGTCCCTGTATGGAATACTGTTGCCACATCTGGGGCGGATCTTCTAATGATGCTCTTTCTCTTTTAGACAAGGTGCAAAAACGAATTGTAAACATAGTTGGACCTGCTCTGGCAGCCAATCTCCAACCTTTGTCACATCGTCGTAATGTTGCTTCTCTTTCTCTTTTCTACAAATACTATAATGGGCACTGCTCTAAAGAGCTAGCGTCCCTCATGCCATCTACTAAAATTCATTCTCGTGTTACTCGCCATTCAATTAAGTCTCATCCTTTTTCTGTGACTGTTCCTAAGTGCTTCAAAAACTCTTATTCTTCTAGTTTTTTTCCTCGAACATCAGTTCTTTGGAATTCGCTTCCTTCATCTTGCTTTCCTGATTCATATAATTTGCAATCTTTTAAGTCATCAGTCAATCGTTATCTTGCTCTACAGATTTAGTCTTTTCTCTTCCAGTAACTTCCAACTCTTATAGTGGTTGCTTGCAGCCTTGTTGGAAGTGAAGATGTTAAAAAAAAAAAAAAAAAAAAAAAATAATTAGTAATAATTAGTACTACTGTGATCAAAAAGTAAGGTGAATTTTTAATTTAAACTTCCCGCCTTATTCGAATCGTCCAATCTTTTTTATTTTTAAGTTGGTAGGAATGTCATTAACATTTGCGCCAAATTACATGTCAAACTCATAATTTTTTTTTTTTGTTTACGCTTGTTTCTGAAGTACCAAAAGTGCATTAGGCGATTTTCACAATGTCTAATTTTGTTGAGCAAAAAAGTGCTGTTAAATTTTGTTTGCGGAATGATATTTCTGCTGCTGAAACGTATCGAATGTTGCAAAAGGCCTTCGGTGAAGAGACTATGCCTTAAAAAAATGTTTACAATTAGTACAAAGACTTCAAAGAAGGCCGAGAACGTGTTGATGACTTGGAACGCTGTTGATGACTCGGACGACCATCGACTTCGATTGATGATCG